ACTGTTTACGGACGAACAAATCAAAATTTAACTTTCGGATGAGGGAATTTGAGTCTAATTGTGGCAGCAAGTCAGTGGTTGTGGAATCGTAGGGTATATGAGGTGCAGCAAGCATACAGCAGTTGTTCATTAGCTGGCGGTATTTGGTTCAGCCTGATTTCCAGATGGGGTTGTTGGTGTCTATGGAAGTTTTGGGCAGGTTTGGGGTGCCATCTCAGTTATGTGGGGTTGACGAAATTTGTCCCGCCTGAAAATATGTTCGAACTGGAAGTCAGGCTTTTCTCCTCTAGGCCTCTGGTAGCGAAACGGTACTTCGGAATCCATCTGGCAGAAACGATGAGGTGTTGGGGTCTATGATAGATATTTCCAGAATTTTTTGAATTCCCGCTTTTATGGTGAAGTCAATCACTAGTGCCGTGCCAAGTTGCCACGTTTGGAAGCAGATCAAATTCGCGTTGCTTGTTATTTTCATTCATTGATTTCAAGATTTTTATCCATTTGTGAACTTCTAATCGAGGTAGTGGAATGGAGGAATGAAGAAGCGTATTTTGAACATAATAACTCAGATCGGTCATCCTGTGGTCCAGATCTGAACCATCAGTTTTAGATTTTAATTTTGACCCCCTTCAGTTTTTTTAAACCTTGTACGCCATCACTTCTTGTTTTGAATATTTTTGATCTCATGTGACAGAGACTTGACAAACGGTGAGATAGCCTATTATGAAAGTCGCGGTTTCATGCCTGCGATCGTAATTGCAGTCATTGAACGTGTCATGTTAATGTGACATTCATTCCCAATCTTTTTAGCATACTGATTGAGAATCGCCGACATGGATCATGTCCTGATCCCTCCAGGACCTTTATCATCGCCGATTTGAAATCTTCTTGCCTTTGGTTAGATGCTTTCCACGAATTTAGATGCCTTTGGATAGATGCGAATCCACGAATACACCGAAAGCACTTAAAAGGATCCAGGAGCAATCAGTATCTTCTGTGCTTTTAGTAAGTTTAGGATTGTCCTGAGGCAACTATTGTAATTTTGTGCCAGTAGGTTTGGAGGAAAAGCACGAAAATTGACAGTGACATGAACGAGATTTTATTAGGGTTGAAAGTGCAAAACAATATAAAGTAGACAAAATGACGTTCGTAAAATGGATCCGCAATACGCCGACCTTCTGATCAGCACTCGCTATAATGCAATATTGTTATCAACAGCATAATTAAACTCATTCGATTCACATAATAACGTAGAAAAACAAGCTTGAGTTCAGACTCAGTTCGGGGTTTGTTTTATAGAAATGACTTTATCAGGACATAAGTCGAGAATGAACACAAAATTGCAAACATTGAGGAGGCATTACCTCCGTTTTCCATGCGGTCACCGCAACACACTCTCAGTCGACGATGAAAGCTGTCGGAGGTGGACGAGTAGTCGCCTTGCCAGCTCCTACCATGGGAGCACGATAACCCAATCCATCAACAGACGACACCAACAATCTGTTACTGAAAACGCTCATCGAGAGCAAACTGCCACAATGGGCGTTGTGCTAGACGTCTATAACAAAAAACAACGTGTTCCCAATTTGAAAGTCAATCAGTTCTGTCCAAGACTACAAATATGATCAAAGTGCGCGAACAAATCAAGTGGTCAGCTCTAATGGACCAATACAGCCAGCGATCAACTCCCGTATTCAAACATTCAAGTGGACAATTCAACAAGAGACAGCCTACAAACCTGACATTCAGATCAACCAATAAATCATATTTGTCACAAACTAGAAATCTATGATACATTTATTTTATTCACAAAACTTATTTAAATTTCATGATATGCAATAATAAGCAAATCTTTTCAATGCAACTGAACAATAATAATGGATAAATTCAGAAATACTCGCTCTTCTCACACCAAACCAATTGTCTTTCCTATCATAACAAAGAACTCAGTCAATTAATACTGCTTACAAAAAACGATGTTAGACATAACGTCACAGGAATTATGAAGTACTTGTGACTAATGCAGACTGACTTTTATTTAGGCTCAGGCGAGCTAAAGATACTCAGAAAATAGAAGAAAGAAAAAGGTGTTGCTATGAGCGAATCGCGTTTAGATACCCGAATGAAAAAAAACAACATCACAATGACGTCCCATCATAACATAACAGCTCCACGAAATATTAGTTTGCCGACCACCCCAATTTCCCCACTGACGCTGCCAAATTCCCCTCGCCCAGCAGGGTCTTTCCCCACCTCCTGTGAGAAACACTGAGATACAGTGAAGTTTAACAATAACAACAATAAAAACAACAAAAATTACAATGTCGTTATTAAATCACAACCAATGATGTAACAGATGAAGATGAGCGAAATCGTTTATTTAATTGTTTGACGATGAAGCATCATAAATTCGTATGTGACATGCTGATAAAACAATATCGATTAAGGAGAACATACACGGTATTATCAAAAGACCATGAAGTACACATAATGTTATGCACGTAACCATTATTTTAACAAACACCTGAAAAGAACGTATTTTATCCATCAGATTATTTAAGAATCATCATCGACTACTTCGCATCATTCAGCTGTACAATTTCAATATAATTTCTAAAACTGAAATAACTTAAGCTTGAAATAACTTCACATTTCATCTTTTTTCACTTTTTTCCGTCTATGATTGCTATGTTAATGTTAACATTGATGATGTTAATAATGTTGGTGATAATAATATAGCAAGAATAATATAATAATAATGTAAGAATAATAATAACAAATGTTATTGTAGTATTCATGCGACAGTTTTCTTATATCTTGCATGATCGATTAAAAGTTATTAGAATTTATGTGTAGAATAACAAACAAACCTGAGCCATGTAAAGCGGAATGAATAATAGTCCCAATACACACAAAGTAGTACTCAATGAAGCTTGTATGGCGGGTAATGCAACTGCTGATAGACAAATCCTTAATCTCTGTTCAACCGTTATTGGCCGGTCGTACTGCGCACCTGAAACAAACCTTGTTGTAGCCATGAACATGTATATGGAGAAGAGCGATGCTCAGGGAGACCAGAAATTATCGCATTTCCCACCTGATTTACGCAATTTTACTAGCTATTTCACTGCTTTACAGATGGAAAGTTTCATTACAACTGTAAAGTGTTAATGATTATCATAAAGATCGCTGAAATCCGCCCTCACCCTTTGCCTGCAACATAGCATGAAACACCAGTTTCACCAATCGTGAGCTGTAAGATTTATCAAGTTGATGAAACGTTCTCAAATAACGTTAGTGGCTTTGAAACAATTGCAGTAATTTAATTGATCATCAATGCAATTCGTTTCTTAGTCTAAATTCGGTGTTGATTGCATTTCACAAAGTTATAATGATTCACCTGCACTGTTATAATGATATGAGACATGGGCTGGGATATCAACGCTGAAACCCATCGAAATTAGCATTGCAGCCATCATAATTGGTTCCAAATCAATACCCATCCAGCTGGCTGCACCAATGATTCCTGAAAATACAAAAAGAAATATTTGATCGCACACAGTTATTGCGAAAAGTTTTAAACTTTTCAGGTGGGAAGAAGGAGATCAATGAAATGTGTACAGACATATTTGAACCTTGCATTCAAAAATGCTTAAAGAGAGGCATTTTCTCACTTTGAGTGAATGAAGGTTAATCAATTAAGTCGAAGTTGTGAGCAACAGACATTTGAATAATATCACAAACCAGTCATGATCGAGAGAATTGAGGCTGAAACAACTGCGACTGTGAACGTATCGTAGAGGAATACGAAACAGATGAAAGCCATGCATGCTAAAGTTCCAACAGCCGATTGCCATGCGTCTGTTGGCATATTATCAATAAGATCAAGATAGACTGCATCATCAAGGAATACTGATACATTGAAGTCTCCCCTGAAGTATGAATGCAAAATTACTGAAACGGTCAATATGATTTTGCTATTTTCCATTTCATTATACAATCACCTCGTATGTTAGAACTAGTGGTGAACATTATCATGCTATTCGTATTCTGTTACTAGTTTTTTTCCGTAGCGCGATAGCTTGCTAATTTTTTCGATTATCAGAGATAACTTCCGTTGTGATAATTTTTAGCAGCACAAGGTAGCAATAACTTGCGCTATTCGGCTAATAGTTCATGAATTTCAAACTGCATACCGATATTTGTCAATGATATTGCGCCACTGTCTGAGTAACACCCCTCGTTGATTCCATTCTTTAAGATGCTCTCCATGATAGCCAGTTGTGAAAAAGAACTTGTTCAATGCACCACTGAATAATTTATCATTTATTTGAAGTAAATTTCATAATTCGATTTGAAGGTAGTGATTTGATTCATAATTGCTCATTGCATTGTTTTCTTTTCACAACTTTTATACACAACTTTAGAATACGTACAGTCAGTGGCGTACCCAAGGGGGGGGGGGGGGGGGGGGGGGGGGGGGGGGGGGGGGGNCCCCCCCCCCCCCCCCCCCCCCCCCCTCCCGCTACAATAATTTGCTATTTCCACGCATAACGTCAGAACTAATTTCCCGACCCTCTCCATTACCCTTATCACATCCCCAATTACCTGAAAATAGGTAATTTCCTTCTTCCCCCCTGTGGGGACCCCTGCCTTAGAGGTTTGAAGAAAAGAGAGGAGAGGCTAGAAGGGAGAAGGAACTGAGGAAAAGAAGGCGGAAAAGAAAGGGCAGGAGAGAGAAGAAATTCATCTATTTTTCTAGACCAGACCATTTCACGCCTCCCCCTCTAGGAAAAATCCTGGCTATGCCACTGTGCACGGTGTACATGAGCAAAACAGTAACAGCTGATTAAGATTTCCAAAATTAATTTAGAATTTTCGCTGAAATCCAAATTATACAATCCTTTAAATTTTCCAGCTATTTATTAATTCTTCATGAGGATATTCTCAAGGAAGTATTTGCTGATTTCTCCAATCGCAGGGTATTCATATACAACACTCGAAACACAACGTTCGTTTGATCAATTTTGTTAATTGTCATCTAAAAGCAATTTATTAAGATTGATCATTGATCACCGAACAGCTGAAACTTGCCTGGTCTCATTGATTTGGGTGAATCCTCGCCAAGTTTCATATTCAGGCCATTCCAGAAATGGTTTCAAGTGTTTTTCATTGAAAGTTATTGCAGTTTGACTATTTTCTAAAATTTTCGGATGCTTCATTAAAATATTCTCCATCATGCTATTACATGTTCTGTTTGCAAATTCAAATAACTGACTCTAATAAGTCTGATCAATAGAACAGTGTTTTGGAACTGTATGAGAAAATGCAGTCGAATGCGCAACTGCTATCATAATTTCTTCTTCCTTTTTCATTAAAACGTTTCTGTGGATCATTTTATTACACAACATTATGTTGTTTCTATATCAGTGGTTCTCATAGGGGGTGAAATTACCCATTTTGGGTAATTTGGAGATGTCAAGGGGTAATGAAGGAAGTCGGGAAATTAGTATTTCGTGCAGTTGTTATTTTATGATATTGTAGAACGCCATTGTGATAGTGTTATTTAACTCGGGTATGTAAATGTGGTTAGCTGATGGCAACATTCTTCATTCCTCTATTTTCTGACAATGAGTATCATCATTTAGCCTAACATGGTTTTCATTTGTTTTAACAAGGTTTTCATTCTTTTCCTTGCTGTTACAATCGCTCTCATAGCTTTTATCACCAAAAATGTTCTCTTTCGCCAATTTCTCATTCATTTCACTGAACAGTAAAAGTCTAATTCTCATTCTATCAAATACACTCTATAATTGATCGTTTGACTGTCGAACGTTGTTGAGCAATTCAATTCGATTTCTGTATTGTTGATTTCGGCTGTCAACAGTCATCAACGTATCTAGTAAATAGTATATGCTACTGAATAAGAAATTAATTCGAACTGAGAAGTGAAATAAGACGAAGTGAATGAGAAAAACTCATCTAGAGAACGATACTCGCATGCAATAGCTATGAGAGTGAATATAACACGTCTGAAAAGAATGAGAATTCACCTAAAACAGTTTGAAGTGAGCGTGTCATAGACAATAGGTTTTCACAAACAATATTGCAATCATAATCGATTGCAATAATGAGTAAAAGAACGGTACAGGACAATGATATCAAGGTTTTGTATCAGAGGGGGAAGGAGGTAAGGGCGGCCTGCCAGATCATCGAAAGAGGTAATGGAGTACTCGAACGTGAGAACCACTGTTCTATATGAAACGCACAATTTTTGAACCGGTAGATTTTTAGAAAATTATTAAAAAACAACAGACCTGTTGATGTGGGTTGCTCATTAAATGCTTCTTCTTCTTCGGCAAATATTTCTTCGAAAGATAAAAAGTCTCTTATGAAATAATTAGAACTTTCAGGCCCCCATGAACAGTCCATATGCTCCAGTTCAGAAACCATTTCGTTTAATCGCTGAAGCCGAATCGGATTCGAGAGGTCACCAGGATGATTCACGTAAAACTGGCCCATTGTATATTGAGAAGCTTGATATTTCGTGCGTAAATGTACGGCCTTAAATCGAGCAATTGTAAATTGACCTTTGCATTATTTGGTGCTTGAAAAGATAATTTTATTGCAGTCAGTATGTGAGCAAAGAAGGAAATTATTGATGAATTTTGCATCTAGGAAAAAAAGTTTTTTTGAAGTGAAGTTTTCAAGTTAACAATCAGTATTAGATGAACTAATCGATGAAAACAGGCATTCTGAGCGTGTATAGAACACGAAAAGGCTACGGAAAACAAATCAACGATCAACAGTCGCCCTACTTCAATCATTGGTGAGTCCTGTGTGAACAGCCTGTCAGTGGTTAGTTCAATTTTCAATCTTGTAATTCCCTGAAAAATGGAATTATTACAACGTTGGCACACTCTTGTAGATTTCAAAAACTCTCACTTATCAATGTTGATACTTTCATTACTTTAAAACCATAGCCAGCGATGTTTCACAATATACTTTCGTTATTTTAAAACCATAGCCGTTGATTTACTTAACGATGTCTCATCGTCGAATTTGGTTTGTGTGTCTTTTCAGCACATTGAATAAAAATCATAGATTACCAGAAATCAAATTGTATTTCAGCACGAAAGGGAATACTGAGACTGAGTGAAGTGAAAGACTAAGGTTTACACGTCAAATAATTGTATTACTAAGCTTCACAGTTGCATCCTCTTTATCTAATATAGATCGAGAAAAAAAATAAGAAAAAGACTTCTGTGATTTCTCAAAGGACCAGTGCGTCGTTTAATTTTCAAAAAGAATGGTTTTCAAAAAGATGAACTCATCACTTACAATAATAGAGAATGCAACAAAAATAATCCAACCACAAAAAACACCAAATGCAAATATTCCATTCGTGATTAATTTCACATAGCCATTCAAAAGAGTAGCACAACTGTGTTTTACATTATCGTGTAGTTGACATGCTGTCTGCAATGTGCTGCATTAATTATCAACTCATGCAATAATTATATGCGTTCTTATCTTTGTTCAACTAAATGAAGCTCTTGAGCGATCGAAACTCATTCGACAATTTCCTATCAATTCATATCTTATTTCCTATCTTATTTTCAAATCGAGATTGATCGTGCACGATGTAAATTTAATACATTCGAAAAAATGTCTTCTCATAAGATGTTCAAAGGCCAACGTATCGTTATTTTGTCAACAAATACTTGATTTCAATTCGATGAACTGCTGAAGAGTAATCATATCTGTCATATATCTCAATATATTTGAGTCACTTCACCTATTCGTTAAATCATCCATATTTTTTGACTTGTTGTCGAAGAAACAAAACAATAAATTCGTTGTTTCATGAGTGAGATGGCTCGAATGGTGTAATGAGTACCTGATTACAGCAATTGGACAGGTTCGTACTATTTTGAGCGCCGATTTCAATAGAATGTTTATTGAGTTGTTCAGTTTCGGTTGCCATTTCAAATCGGCCTGCGATACACATTATTGCTGAATAGAATGTTAACTGAAATAAAAAACCAACTGTAATGAAAAGTCGATGTGGCAATTCAATAATTAATTCAATTCAATAAACTTTCGATAACTATTTTCAAAGATCGGAAACGAATGTGCTTTTAGAATTCCTTACAAATCGAACTTGATTAAATTAAAAAATAACTTATGCTGCGTATTTACTTCTTTGAAGGTAAATTTTTCGAGGTACGATAGACACCTTCTTAATTCCCATCTCCTATGCAATAAGCTCCTTTAGAACTCTTTATTTATTTATATTAATATAACGCGTGAACATGTTCGGAAAGATAAATTGAAACAGTAACCCACCTGGTAAATGAAATCCACGAATATCGAAGCCATGTTACCGTAGCAAAGGAGGGTGATCTCGGGTGATCCCGTGAATGTACCAACTGCATCAGCGAAGATGTTCGTTAGAGCAGAAATCAAAATTGCTGGTCCACTCTCAGCGAGTACCTGACACATTCACAAAAATAAATTTCCAGTCATTTCATGATCCAGAAACATAAACTAGTTGAATGAAAATGACGCAAACCTCAGACAATCGATAGGCTTCACAATCACCCTTTACTGGATAATTTCTGCATCTCTTTGTTACCGCTTGCCATGCGTGAATCATCAGATATGCATCGTCGACACCTAAAATTATGATCAACTCACTTTTATATCATAATTATATCATGGATATTAATAAACGAGAATTTTTCCTTCTATGGGCATTGAATATGGAAGAGCCTAAAAATGCATTGAGTTGCTCTCAAAAAATGTTATGCTGTATGAAACTGCGTTCAATCTTTCTACTCAAAACTTAAATCGGTCTGTCATAATTGCAACTCCAAAGAACAATCATATTTACGCATGAGGAGTTCAAGCAAAACAATCATTTGCACATATTATCAATAACAACTATGAAGTCAACTGAAGTTAATTGAAGGCATCATTCATTCGATAATTTTTTACCAGAGTTCAAATTACACACCTATCGCAAGTACAAGAAACGGTGTTATGCATAGAATTGATCCGTATCGAACACCCATTAGTAATAAAACACCGATCGCAGTTGCACTCGCCATAAAAGGACATATGCAAGCAATTATAGCCAAATAGATCTGTAAAAATGCGAATGAAAGCTATTTTTTTCTTTAACTGACTGAAATAGGTGACAACGTTGTTCCTTCATCCTAATGCTTTTTCCCCTTCCCCAGTCCATTTTGTTTATTTTACTTCAGCAAGTAAACACTGATTTAGTCGTAAAATTCACAAAGCAAGCAAAATTTAACAATACACATTCCGTAAAGTACTCAATTAATGCCAAAAAATACGAACTGAGATGAAATCAAATCAGAAGAAAAAGAACACCAATTGCATTGACTGCTAGGTAATAGTAACTTTCGAATGTATCCCTTGAAATTTTTCTGTGTAGTATAGTCAACCTTATGTATAGTGATTTGCTGCATATATGCAGCACTGATCAGTGTTGAAAATGTTGAACATAGAGACATGATAGCAAAGCCAACAATGAGATACGGTAACATGCTCAATCCAGCTCTTGTTATTTCATGATCCAGAAACGATACAGACATCAAGTAAATTTTCACATGATCTGGCTGATACACTCTGGAAACTCAACAAAGAATAACTGACAATCAGTAATGACCAAACAATGTAGTGGAATACCTCCACTGAAAATAAATATTGTGAAAATGTTTCAGTTAGTGTTTCCATATTGATCAAGTTTAAATGATTACGTGATTCCACCCAAGAAAAGCCGAATTATATAAGATTATCTCATTAATTGATGAACGCACCAAGTGAAATGTTTGATCTTATTGCAGTTTTTAAGCGACTTAAGATTTTTGATCGCCTTTGTGAAGAAAAACTTTCTATTTATAAAAACTGGTCACTTATGCACAACACTGATTCGAAATAGAAAAATTTTCAGCGTGGTTCGGTTTTAAAGATAAAAAATACCTTTGAAAATACTTCACAATTGACATTTCATACTCTATCACCTCTTCATCACTCCAACCACCTGTGGATGACTCTCGGTATATGAGAGCAATCATTTTCGCAGAGCGCATATTTGAGATGCTTGCAATGGTATCGATCATGTCCGTATCATTCATGGATGAATCGTTCACTAAATTGATACCATAAAAATTTGCCTGAAACAATTGCAGCGACTGAACGCAGTAACTGAGTATTGATAGAATCAGAGCGAATGCAAACGAAACAAAATCGAACCTGAATATTCATCTTTCTACCATAAAGTAGTGTGACTGGATAACCAAGAGCTATTCGGTTATTAAGTGACATATTGCTATTGAGCAATTGCATTTGCACTGTGAAGCCATTCTAAACAATTTTTTGTTACTGCTAGTCTAAAAGTAGAGTATGAATTGAACTATGGAAGAATGCTTGGCGAAACCTTCTTTTATTCCATGAATAGATCATAGTAGCCACTTTTTTTTTGAAGTATTTCTAGGCTTTATAGATCAAAATGGAGAATATCGAAACAGAGATGATGTATTCTTTTAAGTCAGGTGAAACGCAAATTAGAACAATCGGAACAAAAAATGACACTGATCTGCGAATTAATGTGTAATTACGCTCATTTTACTCATGAGAATTGACTATTATTGTAATAAATTATTGTAATGAATAAATTATTGTAAATTATTATTGTAATGCTCGTTATACATACGTAAAATTGTCTCACTGGTTCATTCACGAGACAAAAACTTGTGCAGAATTCATTGAAGTTTTCAGGCTGTCCAGTCAGATGATTGTGAAGCGTAAAATTATTCGATATAATGTCGTTTATCTGCAAGTTATGAGCAATTCAGATATTTTGAGAGCATGATGTGGATTGCATTTCCGAATTATAGCTCTTGATTGTACCTTTACTGCTTCACGAAGAATCTCATCCTTTAATACTGTTCCTCCATCTTTAGCAACAATCAACGCCATCATAAGCACAGAACGACCATTTGCATTCAAATATTCATCATGAATAGCAAATTCTTCACGAGATCTTGCTCCATATGGAACAAAACCCAAAAGATCATTTTTGTAACTAAAAATGCTGTTGATATTATTTTTTTACAAGTTTTAATTAAGAACTGGCTTAGTGAAACATATCATTGATTTATTCATATTAGCGTCAGTATTTATATTTCATTACCAAATTATCGGTGAAATATTTATACGCTTATGTCATCACACTTTGCTTTTAGTTATTTCAGTTTATGAAAGGGTACAGCTTTTGTATTCACCAATTCACAGAGAATTAGGCTGCATCACTCGTTGACAATATTCTTCCACGTTTAAGGACAGTTGGTAGAATGGTTGGAAACGAATATTTTAGTCATTAAAATTCTTTGATATTTCTGTGACTGCATGAAATGTTTTGAAACGGTATTGGATATTCAGACTGAAGGTTTTTTTGCAATGCAATTATTCGACTGAAATCTTAAATGAAGATTCGTTTGTGACGATAAACTTTCAAAGTTACTTATTTCATAAGTAAACCATTGATAATGGAGTCTCAGCAAATTTGTTTTTGAACTATTAAACTGTCCACTTTCGGTTGCGCACTTCATTCAATTTTCTCTATCATATCAAGTGGATTTGAGATTAACTATTTGAGTGACAAATCAGTTATAAATTGCAACTCACGGAGTTGTGGCCACTTTGATGGCACAAAGAATCGAAACGATAATGCAAACAATAATAGCTGAAGTGGTATGATCCGCAATCAAGTAGGCCCATCGTCGGAAAATGGCGCACGTATAATAACACAAACGTGTTTCTTGGTGCTTACGAATCACCGACTGTTTCCGCTCAATTATCGCTTTGTTATTCTTCGATTGCATCGCAATTTCTGAGTAACGTATCAGATTTTGTGCTGCGACCTATCAGGCAGCGTGCAATACTTGTTTCGATCTGAAAAGGTAATTTCATGTTTTTCTTTAAGACGACAGTTATGCAGCGAACATTCGATTAATAGAATCGATCAACTAATTGATTTTATTTATCAGTCAATTAAATTTGCAATGCGTAACTGTCCTCTTTACCAAACTATCAAATTATCAGAACAAAACATGAAATCATCAAGGTATCAATTTCTTTCACGGAATGCGCCTCATAACAGATAATTTCACTGAAGTATTGGTCTGAAAAAATTATCGTTCTGATTTTATAAATTCGCGATAATCAATCACTCTCACAAGTGGACCCGTCAGCAAAAACTTTGTCTATTCTATTAAAATTGAGATCGATTGAATAACTTTCAAAACACTTTAAGAAAAATTTTTTTGGCTTTGAATGTTTTATTTTGCGGAAAGAGAGTTCACAGAATAATATTCTTGAAAACAGCAACTGATGGTTCTGTGATGAATGGAAGATTACCAGCAATGATCCATTTGAAAAGACGAAGTCAAGACTTTTTACATCTTTTCATGCACAATGATGTCCTCCTGTATTATATATTCCAGACAGTTTTTGCAGACATTATTTAAAAGAACCGTCATAAAATTCCACTATGCACCATTTCAACGCCTTTCAACTTGTAGCTTTCAAGTAATCAAAGAGAGTATTCAAAAGTCTCATGGAATGATAGGTTATGGTTCAGAGTTTCATTGGCCTTTCAAGAATCAGTTATCAAACAACGTCGTATTTTTAAGGGTAGTACCCAATTTATCTTCAGCGCGTAATAGTTGGTATAGACATCGAACAACCAACAGTGATCACATTTTTCTTCATTATTCGAGTGTGCGCAATGAAATAACGTTCAAATTCAAAAACTGAGCAATAAAATGGAAATCCAGAAAAAAAACCGCAATGCAGATCCATGAAATATAAGAACTGATGCTGCCCGTAGCCGTACTGCTCAAACAAAGAGATGATTTAAGAATAACATCGAACAGGTAACAACTCATTAAGGTAATGAGTTATTGTAAATTAAACTAAAGTGCAAACATTATTCATCAATCTAATCGCAGTAAATAACATCATAAAAAAAGAACAGGGCATGAAAGTTTGCTAATTAATGATCACAAAACAGGAATGGTTATCAATATTGTTTGACGAATTGCTTTCAAAAGTACGTAAATATGCTATTAATGACAGTTTCACTTCCTGCATTTAATCCACCATGAGATGAATGCATCACAGTTACATGGTCATAATTTTCTGCAAATTCATTCGTTTTTTAAATTCGGATATAACTTGAGGAATATTCGTATGAGCAGCTGATCAGCAAATCTCCAAGATCGGTAAACTTCCATTCTTTATGAAAAGCCTTTGCAGTTAGAATGTTCTTTGTATTGTGATTTACTGTTACGAAGAAAAAAATGATATGCTTGGATCATTGTCGCTGTTATGAGTGTTTAACTTGGCTGGATGATGAATTCTAAACTACAGTGTAATCAATCATAGGCATTTCTGATCAGTTAATCAGAAATATTTTAGCGAAGAAATATTTCTTCGCTAAAATATATAGATCGGATCAACTTTCGTTGTGGTCGGCCTTGCTTTCTCTTATGTAGTGTTCCCAACTGCTGTCATCATCTTCTTATCAGCATTTTCTTCTTTCCTTGCGTACCACGTTAATCTTACTTCCCTTAACTTATCCCTTAACCTTTCAACATCCTATATACATTCCTGATTTTGTTCATTTTCGTCATCCCCAATGAGAACCATAGCATTTTAATCTGTCAGTTCCAACTCCACGTTCTATCACTTGGACAAAGCCGTCGTTACTTTCATTTTGACCTTCATCCACTTATCAAACACCACTCCGCCACATGTCTCCATGCCGCTTGAATTCTTTTCTTGACATTCACTTCAACCATTGTTTTGAATATTCATCCTCTGACATTTTAACTGCTTCATCTTCTCAACTCTACTCTTTCGGCTCCTTGTCATTTGCGCACATGCATTCCGTTTTGCTTCTGTTGACTTTCATCCCTCTGACTTTCTATGATATTATTAGCCAAAGTTATATTCCATACAGCTTTCTGTCGTATGTCACCAATTAATCTATTCATAACCTTAGCAAACAACAATAACTCAATGTCGATCCCTAATGTAATCCAGCTTTCTCTTCGAATGCATCTCTTTTCCTGAACGCCAACGTCAGAGCCGCCTTACTATCCCACTAAAATACAATACAATTCTTTCTGTCTTTCTCTAAACTTATCATCTAACACTCTCAAAGAAAACATAGTATCTGTAGCGGTTTTTCTCGCCATAAAGTTGAACTGCTGTTTACTGATCATGACCTTACTTCTCAGCCCCGACTCTACGGCAGTTCTCCACATCTTTATGGTACAGCTTAACTTCATGCCCCTTGTAGTTGCTGAAATCCTGTTTCTCACTCTTATTTTCAAAAATGTTGCCAATACACTTCATCTTCACGCGTCCGGCATCCTCTCATGTTTCACTGAACAGATTTGTTAAAAATCTCACAACTCTCTCCCAAACACGCCTTTATGCCTCTACAGCAGGCTTTCTTATGTAACCAAGTCGAGCACCTCTCTCAAAACGTAAAAATCTAAATCTCAAGAATTTGAAATATAACCCAAAAAAAGTACTTCATATCTTTAATTCAAATCTTACAGGCGAAAGATTCCCAGAAGCGATGGCTAAACGACAACAAAATGTTATGGGAAACTATAGTCGATGAATTCCAGGGAGATGCAAGTACTTAAGGAGGAAGGAACGGAAGATCGTGGTCGTAAGTGGCAGTTCATAAGTCGCTGGTCGTGATTCATGGTTGTAGTCGGAAATAGTGTTCGTCGGGGAACGGGGTCCCCGTCGGGGACCCCGGCGGGGAACGCGGGGAGTGCTCCCCCCCCCGCGCAATTTGCTCCCCGACTTTTTTGCGGGGACTCCCCCCGTCCAATTTACTCCCCGCGGGGACCCCCCTGGCGTAATTTGCTCCCCGACATTTTCGCGGGGACCCCCCTCGTCCAATTTCGCTCCCCGACGGGGAGGACGAGCTCCCCGTCCTCCCCGACGGGGAGGACGGGGAGTGCGAACCTTCCCGAATATCGCGAACATTTAACTGAAAATGGTGAAAGACAGCCGCAACACTTTCAATATTGTCTTGTTTTTTGTTTTGAAATGTGAGTATAAGGTGCACTTGAAAGAAAACTACTTAAAAAAAGAAGAAAAATCTTTAAAAAATTGAAATTTTGTTTAAAAAATTGAGCTGAGATGTTCCCCGTCCTCCCCGTCGGGGAACACGGGGAGCGGTCATTCCCCGACGGGGNTAGTGATCATCATTGTTATTGTGAAGTACTATAGTTCAACATTCATTGTTCGTCATTACTGTCAATCTTTTTCATTATCATTGTCAATCATCTTGAATTAATATTGTGTGAAGATATTATATGCCAAGTGGCCAGTTACTGTTATCATCAAGTTGTCATTGATAACGGAATAATAAATATTATATCAAGTTTCCACTGCGCATTCCACCGCACGCTGACTAATTCATTTTTACTCTTAACAGAGGGGGTACGAGGATGGACTTCAACGTGTATATTTTCGAAAAGGCTGCAACCTACTCAAAAATTATAGACTTATCTTCACTGCAGACATTCACTGTAATGGATGACAGATACAGAGTGGATGTTGTGAGGAGTGCGAGGACATTTTAAGTACTGTTTTAGGGGGTGCGAGAACAATTTAAAATGTTTCAGAGGGTGCAAACAAGAGAACAGGATGAGAACCATTGTTCTACAGACATTTCGTCTGCGCCTATCGCTTTATCAGTCTTCATTTTTTCCTGACGTTCTCCGTTTCTTCCTGCTCACCATTGTTACACAATTGTTCACGACGCTTCCGTCATTTGCTTTTCTTTTTCTTTCATTTTTCTCATTTACTAGTTCTTATATGTAGGTTTTCCATTTTCGCGACAAACTCTTTTCACTGGTCAAGATGTCATCATACATCATTTTCACCCGGTTTACGTCCACTACTGAATAATAATGAATCAATTTCACGCATATGCTCATTCAATAAATTAAAGTTACCAATAACGCGCTACATTCACTCATGTTGTTAAATCACCTCTACAGGCACGTTGCGAAATATTACACCAACAAAAACCACATTACAAATATTACAAAAATATTACACCAAAAAAATTCAGATTTATCCTATGCGGAACGGTGTATCGACAAGGCACTCGAATGCGAACTTCAGCGTTTCCAGTTATGTAGTTGTGACGAAATCAAACATTCATTCTTCTCATATTGTCATTAGTCGATACTAATGAGGAATTAAACGATACGTGAACAACACGATAAGGTGAATGCGGTAGAAACAGTTGATAGCAAAGGACATCACTGACTGTGCATTTATCACGAGAAGGAGAAAACTTGATCATTCTGCAAATGAACTTTCTACAAAATATGCTGAAGATGAGCCTAGAGGAAAGAAAATTTACAGGGAAAAAAAATGCTTTTGCTCAAGGATACTTAAATATACAGATCTTGAATGTTGTTGACAAATTCACTTGATGAGCACACTTGGGTTGCCGGTCCGGAAAAACGCATGGAACAATAAACAGAGTTTGAAGATTTGTTGCTGGGAAAGTGATATGAAAGAAGACCTGATGCACATATGCGTTCGACAATTTTAACGAACTGAAACGTATCTTCAATTTTGGATCGCTTCAGTGAATATAAAATTCATGTTTATCTTTAAAACTGAAGAAACTAAAGCACAGAACAAGAAAACACATTTTTTTGAACGATTACTGACTTTAATCTACTGCAGAATATAAGAATTTTGTTAGACTGACTATTAAAGACATTAATTAAATCATTTAATGAACAGAAAATTAAATCATTAAGAAAAAAAT